GTTTATCAGATATAGTGCTGGAAAAAAAGCACCTCAGGTAAGAAGGCACTCAAAATATGACTGGAGAAGAGTTGCCTCCTCAAAGTAAACTTGACTGTGATGACAGGAATAGAGTAAAGCTTTCAGGACCTTCATTGTTTGATGGGGGCACATCCATTAATAAACTGAACATGAAACACATGAAGTATGAATCTAGGAAATTTGGAAGTTGTCAAAAATGAAATGGAATGCATAAAGATTGATATTCTAGGCATTTGTTGTTGTTGTTGTTAAGTGCCATTGAGTTGGTACCAACTCATAGCTGGGTTCTACGAAGAAAAACATGGCATCAATATTGGAGGAAGACTCATTAACAACCTGCGATATGAAGATGATACAACCTTGCTTGCTGAAAGTGAGGAGGACTTAAAACATTTATTGATGAAGATCAAAGAGCACAGCCTTCAGTATGGATTGCTTCTCAGTGTCAAGAAAACAAAATCCTCACCACTGGACCAATAAACACCATTTTTATCAATGGAAAAAAGACTGAAGTTGTCAAAGACTTCATTCTTCTTGGATCAACTATCAACACTCAAGGAAGCAATAGTCAAGAAATCAAGCGATGTATTGCATTAGGCAAATGTGCTGCACAAGACCTTTTTAAAGTATTGAACAGCAAAGATGTGAGCTTGAGAACTAAGGTGCGCCTGACCCAAGCCATGGTATTTTCAATAACCTCATATGCATGCGAAAGCTGGACTCTGAATAAGGAAGACTGTAGAAGAATTGATGCTTTTTGAGTTTTGGTGTTGGAGGAGAATATTGAAAGTGCCATGGGCTGCCAAAATAACCAATAGATCCATTTTAGAAGAAGTGCAGCCAGAGTGCTCCTTTGAGGCCAAGATGGCCAAACTTTGTCTGTCATACTTCGGACATATTGTCAGTAGGAACCAGTTGCTGGAGAAGGATCTCATGTTTGGTAAAGTGGAGGTCCAGAGAAAAAAAAGGAAGACCCCCAAGGAGATGGATTGGCCAAGTGGCAGCATCAATGGACTCAAGCATGGCAACAGTAGTGAGGTTGGCCCAAGATAGGGCAGTGTTTCATTCTGCTGTGCATAAGGTCACTGTGAGCTAAAATGTATCAGTAATGATCATTTTGAAACAACTGTAAGCATCCATTAATAAACAGATAATGAAATACATGAAATAAGATTCTAGGAAAATTGGAAGTTGTCAAAAATGAAATGGAATGCATAAAGGTCAATATTCTAGACATTAGTGAGCTAAAATGGACCAGAAATGACCATTCTGAATCTGACAATCACTTGGTTTACTATGCTGGGAAAGACAAATTTAAGAGGAATGATGTTACATTCATTATCAAAAAGAACATGTCAAGATCTTTTGCATTTAGCATCAAAAAGAACATTTCAAGATATACTTTGAAGTATAATGCTGTCTGTGTGATAGGATACTATCTATACGCCTACAAGGAAGACCAAGTAATATGCTACCAACCAGTAAAGCCAGTGATGATGATATTGAAGAATTCTACCAACTTCTTCTGTCTGAAATTGACCAAACATGCAATCAAGATGTGTTGATAACTACTGGCAATTGGAATGCAAAAGTTGGAAACAAAGAAGAAGGATCAGTAGTTGGAAAATATGGCTTTGGTGGTAGAAACGATGCTGAAGATTGCTTGATAAATGTCTACAAGACCAATGACTTCTTCATTGCAAATACCTTTTTAAAACAACATAAAAGATGACTTTACACATGGACCTCACTAGATGGCATACAGAAAAATCAAATTGACTACATCTGTGGGAAGAGATACTGGAAAAACTCAATATCATCAGCCAAAACTAGGCCAGGGGTAGACTGTGGAATAGACCTTCAATTGCTCATATGCAAGTTCAGACTGAAGTAGAAGAAAATTAAAACAAGTCCACAAGAGCCAAAAATATGATCTTCAGTATACCCCACCTGATTTAGAGACCATCTCAAAACTGGATTTGGTGCATTAGACACTAATGATTGAAGACCAGAAGAGCTGTGGAATGACAAGGACATTATACAGGAAGAAAGCAAAAACTCATTAAGAAGAATGGAAAGAAGGAAAAGACCAAAATAGATGTCAGAAGAGACTCTGAAACTTGCTTTTCAGTGTAAAGAAGCTAAAGCAAATGGAAGAAATAAGAAGTAAAAGAGTTTAACAGAAAATTTCAAATGACAGCTCTAGAAGACAAAGACAAGTATTATAATGAAATGTGCAAAGATCTGGAGTTAGAAAGCCAAAAAGGAAAGAACATGCGCAGCTCAGCATTTCTCAAGCTGAAAGAACTGAAGAAAAAATTCAAGCGTCGACTTGAAATATTGAAGGATTCTAGGAGTCCCGGTGTGGCACTATGGGTTAATGCGTTAGACTGAAAAGTCAGTTTGAACTGTAAGATCAGCGATTCAAGCTCAGCAGATGCTCTTTGGAAACCCTGTACAGAGTCGCTATGGGTCAGAATTGGCTCAGTGGCACTAACATCAACAATAAATGGGCACAATATTGAACGATGCAGAAGTATCAAAAGGAGATGGAAGGAATACAGAGTCCGTGTACCAAAAAGAAATCGATGATGTTCAATAATTTCAGGAGATATTATGTTACCAAGGGTCAATGGTACTGAAGAAGAAGTCCAAAGTGCACTGAAGGCATTGTGAAAGAACAAGGCTCTGGGAATTGATGGAATGCAAATTGAAATCATTCAACCAACTGAGGTAGCACTGGAGCCACTCACTCATCTATGCCAAGAAATTTGGAAGACAGCTAAGAGATCCATAATTTTCTCATTCTGAGGAGAGGTGACTGAATGGAAATTGGAAACCATCGGACCATATCATTAATTTCACATGCAAGTAAAATTTTGGTAAAGATTATTCAAAAAACGGCTTTAACAGTACACTGACAGGGAACTGCCAGAGGTTCAAGCTGGATTCAGATGAGCATGTGGAACATGGGATATCATTGCTGATGTGTGATTGATCTTGGCTGAAATCAGAGAATACCAGAAAGATGTTTACCTGTGCTTTATTGACTGTGCAAAGGCTCTGACTGTTTGCATCATAATAAGCTATGAACAACATTTTGGAGAATGAGTATTCCAGAGCACTTAATTATGTTCATGAGGAACCTGTACATAGACCAAGATGCAGTCGTTCGAACAGAACAAGGGGACACTGAATGGTTTAAAATTAAGAAAGATGTGCGCCAGAGTTGTATTCTTTCATCATACTTATTTAATCTGTATGCTGAGCATGTAATCCCAGAAACTGGATTATATGAAGTAGAATGTGGCATCAGGATTGGAGGAAGACTCATTAACAACCTGCGTTATGCAGATGATACAAGTTTGCTTGCTGAAAACTAAGAGGACTTACAATACTTACTGATGAAAATCAAAGACCACAGTCTTCAGTATGGGTTGCACCTCCATGTAAAGAAAACAAAAATCCTCACTACTGGATCAATAAATAGCATCATGATAAACAGAGAAAAGATTGAAGTTGTCAAAGACTTAATTTTTCTTGGATCCACTATCAACACTCATGAAAGCAGCAGTCAAGAAGTCAAACATTAGGCAAAGCTGCTGCACAAGATCTCTTTAAAGTGATCAAGAGCAAAGATGTCAGTTTGTACACTAAAGTGTGCCTGACCCAAGTCATGGTATTTTCAATAGCTTCATGAAATGCATATGGAAGTTGAACAGTAAATAAGGAAGACAGTAGAAGAACTGATGCATTTGAGTTATGATGTTGGAGAAGAATATGAAAAATACCATGAACTGCTAGAAAAACCAACAAATCTCTCTGCTGGAAGAATGCTCTTTAGAAGCCAGGATGGCAAGACTTTGTCTCATATACTTCAGACACATTATCAGGAGTGACCAGTCCCTGGAGAAGGACATCATGCTAGGTAAAGTGGAGGGTCAGCCAAAAAGAGGAAGACACCCAACGTGATGGATTGGGACTGTTTAACAAAGATTGTGAGGATGGCGCAGGACCTGGCAGTGTTTCCTTCTGTTTTGCATAAGGTCGCTATGGCAACTAACAACAACATTCCATGTGATAAGCACTGGACTGAGAACCACAAGGTCTGAGGTTCGAACTGCCAGCTGCTCAGCTGAAGAAAGATGAGACTTTCTACTCCCATGAAGATTTAAAAGCTCGGAAACCCTCTACAAGGTGTCTGTGAGTCAGAACCCACTCCACCACACTCAGTAACAATTCAGTACCAACATGTACTGATTTTGGCACTGTAGGAAAAGCACTGGATGGCTAATTGGGTCGGCAGTTCAAACCCTCCAGTCACTCCTTGGAAACCTATTACAGGGTCGTTATGAGTCGGAAAGCACTTGAAGGCACTAAACAACAACAACATTCAGTACCAAAGCGGCCCTGGTGGCTGTAGGGTAAGCACTGGACTGCTAACTACAAGATAGGTAGTTCAAAGCCACCAGCTACTCTGCGGGAGAAAGATGAGGTTGTTTGTTCCCTAAAGATTTATAATCTCAGAAACTCTGCAAAGGGGTCGCTATGAATCTGAATTGACTCTACGACAGTAGGTTTTGGTTTTGGATTCAGCACCAGGTACAGTGCTAGGCACCGTAGATACCTATGACCTGAGCAGATGTTGTCCTTTGCCTTTATGGAAATACCAGCTTGGAGTAGAAGTCGAACAATAAATAAGAGATCAATATATTAGTGCTATGAAGAAAAAGAACTGGGTGCGTGAAAGAACAAGGACAGGTCTATTTTAGATAGGGCTGACATCCTCCATTTAACAGAGGAGGTAGTTGACTCCTATACTGGTTAGTTGATGACGAGCAGGCCAGGAGCCTCCTAAGACTGGAGACTATCTCACGTTACATCTGTCCTATTGAGCTCAAAGTCCACGCTTGCGCACTGTCGGTTGCCTCGGTTGCCATGGGGACAGCTGCTCCGGCGCAAGCGCAAATGTCTTTAAGATGGCGGCGGCGGCGGCTGCTCGAGCGGTTCCTGGGGGTCCAGGCCTTCGGGGCCTGCATCGGACACTGCCTCTTGTAGTGATTCTCGGGGCCACGGGCACCGGCAAATCCACCTTGGCGTTGGAGCTAGGCCAGCGGCTCGGTGGCGAGATCGTCAGCGCTGACTCCATGCAGGTATGGCATTGCGGTTGGCAGCGGTCTTATGAACCCCAGAAACAGGGTGCAGGCCTCTGCCCAGGTTAGTTCTCTGCCGCGTGGTCGTGGTGAGTGAACCCCGAAGCTTGTGATGGCGGAGGGGGTGGGTGAAAGGAACCCATAATGACTGGGTGCCCACTAGGTGCCCGATAAAGTCGTGGTGTTTCAAACTCCTCATCTCATCACTGTTTAGTAGGTACTTTTATTATCTTTTCGAGAAGCCCTTATGGCGCAGTCGTTGACGACACCAGGTTTGTGGTTCGAACTCACCATCCGCTCCTTGGGAAAACGATGTGGCAATCTGCTTCTGTAAAGATTACAGTCTTGTAAACCTCTTTTACCGGGTTACTATTAGTCGGCGTCTGCTCAACAATATTGGGTTTGGTTTGGTGGCTATTCATTTATGGATGTGAGGGAATTAGGGACGAGGGACATGAAACGACTTTCTTCATGTCAGATAGTGTATAAATGGCAGAGACGATTTTAAACTAGATTTGCCACAAGGGTGGCATCTAGGTGGTCAGTAAATATCTTTTGAATGAGAATTATTTAGACTAGGATACATTGGTAACCATCGCTGAGTATCTGCTGTTAGTGGAATAGGGTGGATCGTCAGGAGACCTAGATTCTAGCCCCAAATCTGCCATTGATTGTGTGACCTCGGGTTAATAGAGACAATATCATCCACCTCACAGAGCTGTAGTGCTTAATAAAGGAGATGGTGAAGAGCAGGGGAGCCTGGAGGGTGGAGGGATACGGGGCAATTGGTGAACGCTTGCTGATGCTGAGGTTTTTAACTCCATTAGGTTGATCAGTTTAGGGGGACTTTGTTCTCTTCTTTGAGCCCGAGAGAGACCTAGAAGATATATAGAATGTGGTGTACTCATCACCTCCTACCCATCACCCCTGGGGGAATTTGTGCTGCTCTTAGAGTGGTTTACATCTCTGGGTAATTTGGGATAGATCTCTGATAGACAAAGTACAACAGTTATTTTTTGAAGAGAATTCACAGTTGTAAATGTTTACAAAGTAAATGAGATGCTGGAAAAGAAATGCCTAGTATGGAACCCAGCACCTGATAGGTGCTTAGCAGAGTCCTTGTCGCCACTCCACCCCTTAAGCCTTTTAGCATGGTTTCTGCCCTCAGTGCTTCATTTGGGATCATTGGCCATCATCACAAATAAAGTGATTAGGATAATTTCTACAAATAATTGTTCAGAACCTACTTTATGCCAGCTCCCGTAGACAGTCGTTGGCTTAAACCTCAGCCCTACCCTTTCCAAGATATGTGACTTAGTATAACTTCTTTGTGCCTTCATTTTTACTGCGGTAAAATAGGAAGAATAATGACATAATAGTATTGTGATGATTTGATGGGATGAAGTATGTTTAAAACAAACAATTGCTTTTGAGTTGATTCCAACTCATGTTGACTTTGTGTGTCAGAGTAGAGTTGTGCTCTGTAGGGTTTCAAGGGCTGATTTTTTGCAGATAAGTCACCAGGCCTTTCTTCTGAAGTGCTCTTGGGTGGATACAATACAATATATAGCAGAATAAGTGTGAAGAATACAGTAGCTGTTATTTTCTGAAAGTTCCTGGGGGAGCGAGAAGTAAAATCTCTGTTCTCAAGGAGTTTTAATTCAGCTAACTATGAAACAAGGCAGAGTTAATAGTATGAACTGAAATATTAATGGTGCTTTGCCAAAGAGTTAGGGTAGAGAGAGCTTATAAGTGCTATATTTTATAATATATTATTAGGTACAGTAGAAATTCTGGAAAGGGAAAAAAAAATCAGCAAAAACTGACATAGTCATAGAAAGCTCTCTGAAAAAAGCTCTGAAAGATAGGTGAAGTTCGGATACATAGAAAGAAGAGAAGGCTTATCAAAAAAAAGGAACATGAATGACGATTTAGAGGGGGAAATGGCTTTAATGTGAATGTACCCACTTCCATCAAGTCAGTTACAACTCATAGCCACTTTCTTTAGGGTTTCTGAGACTGTAAATCTTTTCTCCTGTGGAGTGGCTTGTCCTGCAGCTCCTCCAGGACTTTACTTAGTGTGTATGTTGTAGCTTGCTACATGCCATCAAGTCAGTTCTGACTTATAGTGAGCCCATGCACAACAGAACAGAAACACTGCCTGGTCCTGTGCCGTCCTCACAGTTGTTATATTTGAGCCCAGTTTTGGAGGCCACTGTGTCAGTTCGCCTTATAGGGGGCCTTCCTCTTTTTGATTGACCATCCACTTTACCATGCATGATGTCCTCCATCGACTAATCCTTCCTGACAATGAGTCCCAAGAATGAGACATTAAAGAATCCTTGCTTCTAGGATGCATTCTTGCTGTATTTTTTCCAAGACAGATTTATTTGTTTTCTGGCAATCCATGACACTTTCAGTATTCTTCACCGATGCCATAATTCAAATGCATCGATTCTTCTGTGGTCTTCCTTATTCATTGTCCAATTTTCACATGCATTTTGTTGGGTCACATTTCTTTTGGAATGGGTACAAATACTTATCTCTTTCGGTTGGTCAGGTAGCTGTCTTCCAAATTTCTTGGCATAGAAGAGTGAGTGCCTCCACTGCTGCATCGGTTTATTGAAATATTTCAATTTGTATTTTGTCAATTCTTAGAGCCATGTTTTTGTCAGTGCAGCTTCGAGTTCTACCTTCAGTACCATTGATTCTTAATGATATGCTACCTCTTCTGATGGATGCTTCCTCGATCATTCAATATTTTGCCCATGTTGTTGTTGTTGTTGTTAGTGCCATTGAGTTGGTTCTGACCCATAGAGACCCTGTGTAAGGTTTCCGAGGAGCAGCTGGTGAGCTTGAATCACGATCTAGTGGTTCAAACTGACTTTTCAATCCAGTGCATTAACCCACAATACCACAATTTTGCCCATAGAATCCTTCAGTGTTGCAACCTGAGACTTGAAGTTTTTCAGCTAAGAAATTCGCTGAACGTGTTATTTCCTTTTGGTTTTCTGATTCCAGGTCTTTGCATATTTCATTATACTTGACATTGTTTTCTCAGGCTGTCCTTTGAAATTTCCTGTTCAGCTCCTTTAGTTCCTCATTTCTTCCAGTTGCTTTAGCTTCTTTATGTTCAAGAGTAAGTTTCAGTTTTTTTTTTTCTTTCTTCATTTATGATGTTCTTGATGTCATCCCACAGCTCTTGTGGTCTTTGGCCATTAGTGTCTAATGTATCAAATCTGTTCTTGATATGGTTTTAAACTTTGTTTTTGTTGTTAAGTGCCGTTGAGTCGGTTCTGACCCATAGTGACCCTGTATAGGGTTTCCAAGGAGCAACTGGTGAGCTTGAACCACCGACCTTGTAGTGCAAATGGCTTTGCAGTCTGGCACATTAACCCACATCACCAGTATTCAAGGTCATGTTTCGACTCTCTGGTCTTCAAAAATTTTTTTCAACTTCAGCTTGAAGTTGTATATGAGCAATTGATGGTCTGTTCCACAGTCAGCCCGTTGGCCTTGTTTTGGCTGATGATATGGAGCTTCTCCGTCATCTCTTCCCACAGATGTAGTTACGTTAATTCTTGTGTGTTCCATCTGGTGAAATCTATGTGCATGGTCACTTTTTTTTTTTTAACTTTTTATTGTGAATTGAGTGAAGGTTTATAGAGCAGATCATCAGTCTCCTATTCAACTTATAGTCACTTTTATTTTTTTTAAAGCTTTTATTGTGACTTGAGTGACAGTTTACATAAGAGAACGTCCGTTTGCACTCATCCTGTGGTATTTCGTATCATTGCAGTGAATATAATCCCCTACATGTATTATCATTCGATAGTATTTGCATCTATTCCCTTTGGTTGTTTGGTTGGGTTTTTTTTTGGTTTTCGGGGTTTTTTTTAATGTACACAAACACACTAAGGAATACATCATCATTTAAACAACCCAAGGGCACATTCTGCAAACCTGCCTCCTGGCCACTGGCACACAACCTTTCTCTTTCCATGAGTTTAGAGTCCTCAGCTGCTCGATCTCTCCATGTCCTCATTTCTGCTTCTCTGGATAGGGTCCCACATTCCACTCATACTCTTCTCCCTTGATGGTACTAGGGTCCTCTTTTCCTGGAATGTTAGATTAACTACTTCCCCCTTTATGTTACAAAACTTCTACCTTTTACAGTTGTGACAATTGCTAATTGTGATCATGATAACAGTTACTCACTATTGAATCAAAAGAATCTTATTCCATCTCCTTTCACCAGACCCATCTAGACAAGTTGAAAACTATTCAGTGGGGATTCTGCCTCCCCCCATCCCCCACTCTGAAACTAAACTCCCTCTTGAAAACTTGTAAGCCAGTCACTTCATGCCTTTACAGCTCCTCCAATTTTAGATAGCCGGTGTCTAAGTTGCTTATCCCTATCAACCCTGCATACAGAGGGGATAGGATGAAGACTCCGTCCCTCTCAGTTGGTATTTTGAGATACTATATCCATAAGTATAAGCGGAGGTCTGATGTGGTGCTGTGGGTTAATGCGTCAGACTGCAAAGTCATTTGAACTGCAAGGTCGGTGGTTCAAGTTCATCACATGCTCCTTGGAAACCCTATACAGGGTTGCTATGATTCAGAACCAACTCAACGGCACTTAACAACAAAAATATCCATAAGTACATCAAGTTCATCAAATTGTAGCAATTTACACTTGTTTCCTTTATCAAATTTCTTTATCTTCCTCTAGTAGAAAGTAGTCATCAAGCCATTGAAACTAGGTTAAATGGGTACTGTCTGAAAGTTTGGGCACTCTTGTGCATCTTCATATCAACTGGATGCTTCATTCTCAGCTCTAGCTCTGCATGGCTAGGTCAGTGTCCATGGGCTCAGGAATTCCCAAGTCTCCCCAAACTTTGGACCAACTAGCCTTTCCTCTTTTCTCTCTCACCTCAAGGTCGACAGGAATCTGTGGAACGTGATCAAACTCAGCCCATATATTCATTGCTGCCTTT